GGGGGGGAGACAAGATCTTGCTCTGTCACCTAGGCTAGAGGGCAGTGGCCTGATCATAGCTCACTGCAACCTCAAACTCCTAGGGTTGAGTGATCCTCGTGCCTCTGCCTCCCAAGTAGCTGGGACTACAGGCACGTACCACCATGCTCTGCTAATTTTTAAATTTTTTTAGAGACAGGGTCTTGCTATGTTGCCCAGGCTGGTCTTGAACTCCTGGCCTCAAACAATCCTCCCTCCTTAGCCTCCCAAAGTGTTAGGATTATAGGCATGAGCCACTGGGCCTGGCCTATTTTAACAGTTTTTAAGTGTATGATTCAGTGACATCAAGTACATTCACACTATTGTGTAACCATCACCACCATCCAATCTCCAGAACTTTTTTCATCTTCCCAAACTCAAACTCGGTTACCCACTAACAATAACTCTCCATTCTCCTCTTGCTCCAGTCCCTGGCAACCACCATTCTAATTTCTTTCTCTATAAATTTGACTACTCTGGGTACCTCATATAAGTGAAATCACACAATATTTGTTCTGTCGTGACCGGTTTGTTTCACTTAGAATAATGTTCACCCATTTGTAGCATGTGTCAGAATTTCCTTTTTAAGGCTGAATGAGCCTATACTTTTTAAGGAGGAGGCATGATGTAAAAAAATCTTTTGCTAAAAAAAAAAAAAAAAAAATACATTTATATCATAATTCCCTTTTATTTCTAGTTTGAATTTTTTCCTTAAATCATGGATGTCAACAGATGTTTTTCTGCATCCACTGGATGATCATGTGTTCTTCTTTAATCCACTAATGTAATAAATCGAACTCATTTAAGTACGTTAAACCATACTCATATCCTTAGGATAAACACAACTTGATGATGCTGTGTCTTCATATACTCTTGGATTAAATTTGCATTCTTCCTCATCAGTGATACCAGCCTGCAATTTTCCTTTCTAAGAATGTCTTTTTTCTGATTTTCAGATGAAAATTATTCTAAAATTTTAATATGAATTAGTTGGGGCTTACTTTGTAGACTCCATGGAAGAGTTGTATAAAATGGGTGGAAACAACCCAAATGTCCATCAACAGATGAGTTGTGGATAAACAAAAGATGACATATCCATATAATGGAATATTGTCTTAGTCCATTTTGTGTGGCTATAACAGAATACCTGAGACCAGGTGACTTACAAAGAAAAAAAAGGTTTATTTCACTCACAGTTCTGGAGGATGGGAAGTTCAAGGACATAGCCCTGGTTTCTGCTGAGGGCTTTTGTGCTGTCATAACATAGTGGAGAAGGTCAAAGGGGAAGTGCAAAGATTGAGAACCCAAAGGGCTTCCTGGCTTTCTAACAATGACCTCTGGAGGAAACGAATCTATTCCTGAGAGAACTAATCCAGTCTTGCCAGAGTGAGAACTCACTACCACAAGAACAGCACCAAGCCATTCATGAGGGATCCACCCCCAGGATTCTAACTCCTCCCAGACTCCATCTCCCAACACCACCACAATGGAGACCAAATTTCAACATGAGCTTTAGTGGGAACAAACAAACCATATCCAAACCATAGCAAATATTATTCAGCTATAAGAAGGAATGAGGTAATAATAATATGCTACAACACAGATGGAACTTGATTATACGATGTGAAAAAAGCTTGACACAAAAGCCACATACTTATTTCATATAGCACTTATAAATACAACAAATATCAGCATAGTACTTCTGGTAATATACATTTAAAGTCTGTAAAAACACCATAAAGGCATTATACACATTTATGTCTCATTCGCTAAATATGTTTTATCATTTGGCTGAATGACCTTTACATGGTAAAATCTCAAATAATGAATGAAGGAAGGAAGAAATGCCATTGGCTCTTAAAATCCTTCAGTGATTTCCCAATACATTTGTTATAAAGTCTCAACTCTTTACCACAGCTCGTAAGTCCCATATTTGGGACTTGGCCCATATGATTTAGCCCATATTTCTTTCTTACTTTATTTAATAACCTATGTTCCAGGCATTGTGCAGAGTTCTGGGTATACAATGGGAAGTAAGAGACATAGTACCTTACCCTTTGAAGTTTATAAACCAGAAGGAAATACAAACCATAAAGTAGTAAGACTGAGGGAAAAAAAGGTATTAGGTATCATGAGAACCTAACAGGTATATCTGACCTGGGTTGTGAGGTGGGAATGGGAGGATCAGGAAATCTTTCTGGAAAAAGTGACATTTAAACTTAAACAGGAAAGATGAAGAGTTAGCTGGGTAAAGAACAGGGCAAGTTCCAAAGGGAAGGGCATATAGGAACCAAACACTGAAACATACAGAGATCCAAAAGAAGTTATTTCTGTCAGACTGAAATATGGAATTACTGGGGTGGGAGGGGAAAGAGAGAGATGAAGCTGAGAAGGTAGGAGTTTTTCCTTTAACAGCAATGGAAAGCCCCTGGAGAGTTTTAAGAGAAGCAAAAAAGAAAAAAAAATCACTGTATCTAACTATCTACTTACTTGTTTGCATATCTTATTGAAGGTATGAACTGTGTTTATTTAGTCACAAGAACAATGCTAAGCTCACACTAGGTACTGGGTAAGTATTTAGTCAATGCTATTGAAGCAAAACACAAACTGGCATAGCAACAAAAAATGAAATCCAAGGTTTCTGATTCTATAATCTATACACATATAAACATAGGCAAATATTACATATGTATACACAGAGACTAGAGATTCCTCAGTGATAATAGGTATAATGAAACTCCTGAAATTAACTAATTAAAATTGGAGTGGATCCATTAGATTGAAAATATACTGCTGTCTT